CAATCAACAATACCTTTAAAACTTGTGAATACGATCAGATCATTCCGAACTTCGAAGTATAAATCAAATCCGTGATCAAATCAGGCGTATACAATCGAAAATACGTAAATTTATACATCACAAAAGCCATGTCAACAATATATGTTCTGTTACACTCCTGCGAAGCGTCCCCCTATCTCGTCACGTGACATGAATAAAATGAGAACAATAACATATTTGTCACGTGGTCCAGCTAGCCTAACCATCCTCCTTCTATTAACCGTGATCTTACGGTAAGATTAACTTAGGCTAACTACCTTAGAGAAGTCCAGCACCACCCTTAATTAAAAATCTGCTTGACCGTACATTTTCTGCTTTTCGGATAGCGAAATACTGTTAGCGCGTGTCAATTTCTTAAAATGGTTCACTCCGAATTGATCCGGTGAGCTCACGAGAAAATACTCAGAATGCTTTAATTAAATATCATGGGTAATGATATTTGTAAGCATGTCAAGGCTGTTATACAGCCATATTTTCAAATATACTGTACTTTAACAAGCAAATTTACTGTACTGTGCTACAGCAACTGTCCAGTCACGCACACGTGATAAAAAGCCGATATAAACAAAAGATAATGTAAAACGTAACAGAACGGCGAACATGCAGATTCAGCCATCTCAAATAATGGTAATGTTGGGATAGTAGCGTTCCAAACTGCAGAGGAGAGTGGGCAGTAAGGCTCCCTCATGCACCACCCCATGGAAAACCTGCACCCTCCTTGCAGATGAGACTATAGATCCGCCCCTATGTTAATATAGAGCTTGTAATGTCCCTCTATTCCTTGTTTGAATGTCTCTTCTATTTTTAGGGCATGATTGCAAAACCGCAAAAACAAAATTAGACGAAGGCAAGCTAAGTCGTGAAGAATACTGCGAGATTATCGTGAAGAGAGTTTGTGGTGCTGTATGTTCCATCCCTGGCTTTGCAGTTGGATTCGTTCTTGGCGGAATGATTTTGCCAGTGCTGGGAGCATTTCTCGGGGGAGCTCTGGGTGGTTTCCTGGGGAAAGAAGCTGGGGGCAAACTTGGAGAGATACTTACACCAATGTTTATCGAACATTTGAGTGACGAAGAGAAGAATGAGGGAGAAATAATCAGAGCTGACTCGTTCACTGGTGAATGTAATGGAGAATGATAAATACGATGTGGAAGCTCGGAGCTTTGGGTCATACATGCTTCTTAGCATAGACAGTCCAAAATGCGTGTATATACAATATATGAAATGTCAATCATTAAATAAACTCGCCGGTAGGTTTGTAAATTGTAATTTATATCAAAAGTCGCAGCTTGTAAATTGGGAGAGTTTATGGTGGCGTGTAGAACATGTAAATATATCTTTAAAGGGAAATGGCAATATATATATTTTTTATTTTCTCGTATGAAAGAATTTTTAAGACTATATATAATGCTCTTTTACCGTTTTTTCATATCTTGCTTACTTCTACAAATATTTTGATCGAAAGGAATGAAATGTCCGCCATCTTCAATTTTTGTAGATATGCATGTCACGTCACAACAGGGGTCACGCGATATTTTTATCTAAACAACCGCTAATCATTTTGCACTCAAAACTATACTCTGTCTGCCCTTCCAAATATGAACTTGGCAACTTGCTACAAGGTTGTTGAGCTCTGCAGACTTGTTACAAGTTTTTCCAACAACTTGTTATCGTCCTGCAATTCAACAATTTGTCAACAAGTTGTGAGTGACAACCTTGTAGCAACTTGATAAAATAACAGCATTGTTACGACTTGTTGACAAGCTTGCTACAAGCCTGTTGCGAACACATCTTGTTGACAAGTTGTGAAATTTTTACGTGCTCTCGGATCGGTTCATATTTTACAACCTGGCATTTTGCCCCGCTTATTATATATAGCGATAGATAATTAATTTATTAGTGTTTTTGTGTGCATGGCACTCAAAAACTGCTGTGATGAAACAATGCATGTTTTATAAATGTACCACACTAATTTACTAAACGCAGTTTCGCTTTTGTTCCTTGACCTTGTTGTCTCTCAATGCTTTTACGACGATTACATAACGTTCGTACATTTACATGACGTTTGTACATTTCTACGACGTATAAACGATTGAAAAAACAAGTTTTGCATCTGAGAATGCATATGAGCGGCGACAGAGTGGCAAATCGCTTTGGTCGATGTTTTCACCGCAGGAAAGAAAGGTTTGATCTTGAAAATCTCAAACCAGGGGACCATATTGTCGAGGAAAAATATTCAACATATTGGGCTATCTTTAAAACAGGGAACGGGGAATCCGGGAATCGGGGAATCCGGGAATCGGGGAATCAAGGAATCGGGGAATCAAGGAATCGGGGAATCAAGGAATCCGATAACAATTTTATAAAAATTTAAATAAAAATTTTATTCAATTTACAATTTATGCAATAAAAGAAAATGAAGCTTAATAGAAAGTTTGACGTTACACCAAAATTGCAGGACACGAAGTCGTGAAAAAAACCAGTTTAATACTTTTAAACGGGCATTTAATGTAAACTTCACGCAGGATACAAACTAAAGCGAATGTTTAATAGCCATGATTGCGCTAAATTAAAGAGTTTCGGTATGCATTGTCGCCATTTTTTGTTGGCACTTACATGTAATATAATATTTCATTGCTTTGATTGTGATTGCGATTGTCAAATATAATAGCGGTA